AAAAAAAGTCCTGCTGCACAGAAACCATGGTGGTTCTGTCTCCATCCAGGTGCAGGACTTTATAGTGAAAACAGAACTGTCCAGAACCATCCTGCTCATGTTTAAACAAACAGCCTGAATACGTTCAGCCTCTCAAACCACAGCGACACACAAACCAAACCCACCTTCCACGGCCAGTTTCTCGGCGTTGCTGGTCCGCTGTCTGCCCTCGATGTTTATCTTGCACTTGTACTTGCCGCTGTTGGACACTCTGGCGTCGGGCAGCAGGTACAGGAAGTCGTCCGAGGAGCTGGTGGTCTTGGTGTACACCTCGCTGCCGTCCTTGTAGACGGTGTACTCGCGACTCAGCGCCTCCTGGCCCGAGCTGCTGACCGATGCCCGGCACCTCACGGTCACGTTGGTGCCCCGGCTCACGTCAGCGCTCGGCTCGATGGACAAGCTGACGTCTTTGATGGTGAACACTGGGGAGGACATTTAAAAAAACCACAGTTTGAGCTTTTCTTTATACGTTCCAGCAGGTTCATCATCGTTACAGCGTCCCTGCAGAGGAAACTCTTGTTCATTATGTGCTTTAGGGAAGTCAAGTCCACTTCATGTTTTATTGCTCATTACATCCACCTTCTGGGATGTACGCTTATTAGCTTTCTGGCTCAGAGTTGGATTTAATACCTCTCTTATGTCCGTGTTAACTGTGCAGCCAGAGAAGGAGGTCTGTGAGGTGAGTTTAGAGAGTTTAGAGCCTCATTCCTCCACGTGTTGGAGGACTTACTGGAACGTCTCGTTTGGTCGGATGACGACGGCAAAGGAGTGGTTAGATAAATCAACAAATATATCCAAATATGAATCTTTAAATTGCATGAAATCACTGTCTGGCCCCCAAGAAATCCAGTATCAGTGCTGATACAAAGACAAGGCAGCCGTCCGTTCTGTTTAATCACATTTCAAACACCTGCAGCAGTGGCTGGGTTCAGGAAGCTGATGTGTTACCGTGGAATGTCACTACAGCGGCTACCAGGATCCTGACTGGATGTGAGACTTGTAAGAAACAATGAGACGAAAACTAGTCTAAAAAAAAAAACAACCCAAACACGAGCTGAACAATGTCGTAGACGCAGGTCTAAACATAAGAGAGAATTAATGACCACGCTACAAGCACGAGCCCCTCAGACGTAAGAGACGAAGGAAATACCGTCGTACAAAAGAACAAAAGGTTCTGTGGTGATGTCTCGATGTCAGCAGAACAGCAGCAGCGGCCCGGAAGGTGAGGAGGAGCGTCTTCTACCAACGTTCAGAGGAAACAGACTGGCTGACTTCTCATCTACTGACAGCCCCGACCTGAACCGCTGGGTCCATGATGCTGGTACCACCGGGCTGCACAGTGGGGATGGTGGGGCTGTGATGATGTGCAGGGTTTGGTATCTGACAAACATCGCATCTCTACTAACTCCTTCAGAGGAGTCGTAGGAGTCCTGGTGG